TATATATATATATATATATATATATATATATATATATATATATATATATATATATATATATATATATATATCTGTGTGTGTGTGTGTGCGTGTGTGTGCGTGTGTGTGTGTTATATGAATATATGATACATGCACCACTTGTCCCCATAAAGAATTAATCTCACCTTTCTGTTAAATTTCTTCTGATGAGTACTGTTCTGCATTAAGAACAGTTGCATTTCTCACGTCATTTTTTTTGGAATATCATTTCAGTGAACTTTGTACGGTTTTCAGACCATTGCTAATATTCTATCTTAGAAATGTAACCGATTTTGCATTCTATATGTCCTTCAACATATCATTCAGCTCTTTGCACATTGGGCCTCAAGTAAACTGATATGGGGACAGATAGCCAAAGTTGGCATTTGGATTTAAGCTATGAGCAGTGGAAACCTGTTCCTGTATCTGGTTCACGTCCAGCTGCTCGCTACAAGGTAATTCATATTTCTGAATATTTATGTATGACCCAATGGGCCCACATTATGAATGATCTTTTGCCTGTCATAATCAGAACCTTTATTTTCCATTTCAAATGTTTAAATTCTTATTCTTTATTCTAAGGGTTCTGGTGTACTTTATGTTTCAGCATGCTGCTTCTGTGTTTGATGGGAAATTGTATGTTGTTGGCGGAAGTCGAAATGGCCGATATTTGTCTGATATCCAGGTATTAATCTTGCTAATAGGTTATGCTATTATGGTCTATCAAGCCCTTGACAATTGGTAACCTTTTTTTCCTCCCTTGATACAGAAGACATGGATATTTTAAGTTAAATTCACTGTACACTTACATCAAAGTTGTGAAATTTACCGTGACCCGAGATTTTCTTTAATCAAATTCATAAACCATTACTATCATTAGTCATTACTAGTCAGCCACTACGTTTGGTACATTTTTGTTTATATTATTATGAATTATAATTATAGGTATAATTTGTATTTTCTTAGTGTCTTTTTTCCCTTCTTATATATAATTAGTTTGAATTTTCTTCCCTTATACAAATAGTTTGAGTGTTGGATAAAAACAAGTAATTTCCATGAAGTGAGATTATCTGATTACTGATGTCACAGTTTTTGAGCTGTGTCGGTGTTGTTAGTAATTTATAACTATTGTATGAATTTTTGAATTAAAAAATAGCTACCCTAAAGGCTCAATCAATGGGGTATCATCTCTAAGAATTAGATTGTTCCCATTATTCTCAAAATCCGTGAAAT